AGTTGTGGGAAGTACTAAGGTAACTATATAGTTCGATAAAATAGTTAAATTTTTATTAGGAATACGTCTTACCACTGATTTGTGGTATTGATTGTTAATATTTAAATCGTTAGAAAATGTAAAATAAAACACTCTTATTTAAAACAGCACAACAGGTCAGTACATTTTAAAGTCTCATCAAAAGTACACAATTTTGAGGGCTTATCATCTGCTATTGTTTCCATTACTTTTATCTAATATTTTGGAAATATGGGCAATATGTATTTCATCCCGACTGAATTATTGTATTTTTTTATTCTATCCCTGTAATTTTCAGATTGAGATTTTTTTCAAAGCAATAATGTTTAGCTACAGTTTTGTATAATTGTAGCGTCGTTTCCCTCATTTTAAAATTGCCATTGAGGATGTAACCATGTTTATCGAGACCTATTTCACTGTTGGTAGCTGCGTGGACCAAACTTCCTTTTTTGCATATCAGGATTGTGTGCCCGAAAATGTAATATATATATACGTGCATGCAGAGCGGAGACTGGAGTCTACATCTGAGTATACTTGAGTCTACATCTGAGTATACATCTGAGTATTACTTACTTTTGGACGAAAAATACTTTAATCTAAGTATGCGAAAACAAATAAATGGGTTACCTTGACGATTCCGTTGTCACGCCCGTCATTTATATTTTGCCAAGCACATTGTTTTATATTCTGCACAGGTAGCTCTGCGATACCCGGTGGGCCAACGGCACCAGTTTCACCTCTTTCGCCCTTCGTACCATCTCGCCCGTCGCGACCTGGGTTACCATGGCTACCGGGAATTCCGGGAATGCCGGCACACCCTGTATTGTAGCCGGACTGAAAGAACGAGATAAAAGATTTGACACAGATCCCATGGAATGCCGGGATAGGATTTACTTTCGATGTTGACATGGAAAGCCTTATCGTGTCGCAGTTCATAGATGTTACACTAACTATGCCAGTTTTTAGAAACTACTCAATAATCCGTATTTGTCCGAACCCTGATAAGTGTTTATACAGTTCATCTTTATTTTTGATTTGAAAATTATTGTTCCATTACATCAATTAACAAGTATGGTATTACAGGGGCCGTTGAAATCCTATATTTCGAACAAAGTGCGTCATTTTTGTTTGATTCTAACTCAATTATATTTTGGTACTAACTTCAGTATGTTCATGGGATAATCTACGGAGAAAATGGAAACGAACATTTATTTAAGAGTTTCTTAGAGTCCCTCTAACCCTCTTTAGGTTATTTATAAGTATTTGGAAAGGCATATTGAATTGCATTGTGGGACTGGAGTGTTAGGATTAGGATTCAGGTTAGGGGTGAGGGGGCCTTAAGGAACTCCTTCCCATTTATTTAGTTTAAACAACAGACGATTATGAAGCTCTATTTCCACCGTGGATGATATTATAGCAGGTACAGCTGCCGAGTTAAACAATGACTTCTTGAACTATCCTATCACTGTGAAAGAAATTTGCCGAAACATTAAACAACTCTAAATGGTTCGCCAGATTCACTGGATAATTATAGGGGCATCTCGATTCTAAGTATTTTTAGTAAATATTCACATCAATCTTAAATAGGTCTCAGTTCGTGGGCGGAAGCTTTAGGAAAAATTTACGAGGTTCAAGCCGGTTTTCGGAAAAGTACAATTGATAACGTTCGTGCAGAAAAACTCGTCAAAAAGGGAGGGAAATTTACTGTGTCTTTGTGGATTTCTCAAAAGCATTTGACACCATTGAGCGTCAAAGTTTTTGGTACATTTTGTTAACGGGTGGCATCAAGGAGATACTAGTAATGTTTAGAATGCTATTTAGCATTTATTCTAATGTTAAAGCGGGGGAGTCGTCACCTGCGCATGCGTAAGATGGCCAAAGTGTCATTGTTTACAAACAAGCGTCTACCCATGAGCCTTTGCGTTTTTAGCTTGGTTGTTATCGTCGCTTGGGATTCAATTCCCGCTCGTGCGCAGGTGACGACCCTCCCGCTTTAAAGCACGTGTGACGTCAAAACATCGCACCGAGCATTTTGATTGCCCTATTGGTGTAAGACAAGGATGTATATAGATTAAGTCCTTTCCCTTTCTCCTATTTCATAAATGAATTAATCTTAGCACTACAAATTTCGGGTCAAAGAGGGATACAGCTGTCATCAGATTTACTAGAGATACATTTTTGTTTACAGACGATATAAATAGTTTGAGTAATTTCTGTGACTTGTGGAAGTAGACTGTCAATTTATCCAAGACTAAAGTTGCGGGGATTTCAAGTGCAGAAACATGGTTTTATAAGGGAAAAAAGTTCATGTAGTTTCATATTACAAGTATCTTGGAGTGTTGTTTTCTTGTCGGTTAAATTTGTCATGTGCTACTTAATTGCTTGCCCAACAAGGTAAAAAGTTGTTAATGGGTTTAAACGTGCAAGGAAATTGGGCCCACTATCTTATTTCTTCAAAATATTTGACACAATTATTCTGTCAA